AGCAACAAAGAGATAATCTCTGATATTAAAAGAGGACGAATTTGTGATGATATCGGCATTCGACGATACAGACGATCTCGTAGAGCACCATTATAAAAACCCTTACAACTATGTGTGTGCGTTGACCGACTTAACATTAAATTGGATACCAACATGCAACAAGGAATTTCATGCTAATTACAGTATCATATATTACTACAATTCATATAAGATCATAGAAGTCACAATTTGCGTTCATTTAAAAATGAAACAATTATGAAATAATTATTTATGAAAAGATACAGAATCCGAAGGTGTTTCGCGGAAAAAAATTTCTTGTTTTTCCTTGTTGCACCTTATCCAGGATCCGCTTTGTATTAAACATTACTATAGGAGTAATATCTTGGGGAGAAATACTTATTTTAAAAAACAAGATATTTGATAAGAGCGAAACCATAATTGCAGCGGTATTTACGTTTCTACGATCGTACGTACAAAACACATGAATGAAATGAACCGGAATAATAATTTGAATGTCATGCAATTTCCCCCAAAAATATTTCCGTCGCATACCTTATCTATTATAAATTACGTTACGTTCGAAAATAATTGTTTGCTTGCCTAAAAACATATTCATATTTATTCCTCGCCGAAACTATTCATTTTCGCTAATTCTTCCTAAGATGTACACATTATCGTCCTAGTTCTTAACTGTTCCATCTTCCAGAAAAATGTAAATAATCCCATTTTGTTGATGTAAAGAATAAAAATTCGTAATGTAATGGAAATATGAAGCAATAAATATTTGAATATTTGCCATCTATAATGTTGAACTTCATAAATTTTAAACATAGTGTTCTCAGTTTGCAAATGAACGGAGATAGAGCAGTCAAAGACCAGGGCGATGATATGTAAAGGAAGCAAACATTTTACAAATTAAGGCAAATGTCTCTCACTGTAGAAGTAAATCTCAGCGAACGTGATGTTAGAGAACAAACGAATTACTTGACAGTGGCATGTTTGACATCGTTTCTTTCCCGTTTACTTCTCTCAGCCGTATATACGAATAGCAATGAAAAAATAGTTATCTACGTATCGCTTGCTCGATAGATATGTTTCCTTCGAAATTTTTTGCTCGTTGCAAAAAAGAACAAACGCACACGTTAGTAAATGACATGTCCAACATTATTATGCAACGAAATATGTGCTTCTATGGACGATTAACGCTACGTTAATGTACTATGAAAATGTAAATCTCGCTTTAAAAAGTTGCTAACGCATGGTACGTTTGGATAAGATATTTTAAAAGAACGACGTGGTACATTTTGATCTTATCTCGTCAATTAAGGATTAAAAAGGGATTTTATTTTGAAACCATTGTCGTTAGTGTACCGAATGGAAAATATTACGGGACATTCAAAAATTACACGAAACAAATGCTACGATGTATGCGTCTATCCAAGGTATATGTTTCCTTATTTAAGTTATCTAATGTTATTGTTTATGTTTACATTTAACTTTATGCTTTATCCTTACCATTACTAGTGACCATTGAAAATGAAACCGAATTGTTTTGTAATTTTCATAACAAACGTGGTTAATTAAGCTCTCCATTTATCTCGTTCTCGTTCTAATAAGGGAAGAGACAGTGTTACTTAAAGTTTCATTCTGTAATCGTGAATTAGTCGTTTCTGCTACAGGAGAGAACACTATAATTATCATTACTTATCGATGAGATAATTGGTAAAAATTTTGAACGATAGACCTTTACGATGACAGTATGGCTGGATTCACTCTGTACCCCCAAATGATAATAGTCAATTGTGAACATTAAAGAAATAAAATATTTAACAATGACTTTCGATATCATTCATTTTTTATGCATTATTATATATGTTTTATGCATCAAAGCTAAACGAATATTATTACTTCCAATCTTTTTTCTTATATGAGTATTCAGTATTAAATAACATATATTTATACTAAATTTTCATGACATTTTCAGTATATTCATACAGAGATTTTCTGAATTTGAATTATAAAAATCACACCTAAACATACAACAAATAATTATGCTAAAATATCACATTTAATATAATATGATATTAAAATATACTAAAATATATTTATATGAATAGATATAAATAAATTATAACGAAAAAGCTTAAAGTCCTATAGAGGTTTTTCAGGTCCAAATTACTGCAGTTTAACACTATTATAATCAGACAGCGAATGTTTATGCAATTATACCAATATGTACAAAATATTAAATTGGTAACTGAATTAACGACGTTGAAATTTATTAAATATAATTACTTATTAAAATTTTCAGAAGTAAGTTTAGACAGTAATCGAATGCCATATTTATAATTTTTCAAGTTTTTATAATAGAATAGTTTTTAAGTAAAATGTCTGGAAATTTTGCGAATTTTGTTCACACAGACATAGATGGACATTTATACAAATATAAAAAGATGTGCGAGTGTGACACGAAAAATAAAAAACTAGCGTGAAATTATTAGTAATTCATCTATAAATTGTTTTACAATTCTAAATCTGATAATTCGTCAAATATGTATGCAGTATGATATGCACACGTGATGCATGATGCCGGCAATATACCGAAAACGCAAAATTTATAAATTACATACGTATTGCGCAAGATATTTAAAACTAACATGATATAAAAATTCTTATTTTTATTTATTCATTTTACAAACTGAGAGTGATATTAGGACCATGTAAGGACAAAATAAATATATCTAGATTATATTTTCTTATATGTATGTATAAACATTCGCAACCTGGTTATGAATTTCTGTTTTCGTTATTTTTTACGCCCTCGTCAAATTTTTCTCATTTACATTAATGTAAATGTTCATCGATAAATATTCACTAAATATTTTATTACTAAATCATATCGACATACATACAGAACGCCAGCTTTAATCCATCTACGCAATTATTTAATTTATTTATGATTTGAAAAAAAATCTTGTTACACAAATCATGATTAGACGCAACAATTAATTTTGAATTTTAAGGTGACCTTTGTTTTTTTAAATAATATTTCATGTTTATTTTACGCAGATTGATTCTCAGAAATATTCTGTATAAAAATTATTAAGAAATGTTAAAAGAATTAATTGTGAAGTATTTAAAAAAAATTCGTGTACTTCATACATAAATTTGTAGTATCTTTTGAATATTGTTGATATTATTATCGGTTAATATTTATTTGATATTATATCTAACATTTTAATATTAGAGTGTTAGAATCAACTTATGTAACATGTATCCGATTTCAATAACAAAAACAGAAATTTAATTGCACATTTTTTATGCAATGCACAACTTGCTTTTACTATAAATCAACTTTGTTGGACAATTCCCCATAAAGAAGTATTAATTAATATTAATAGTAATATAAATATTAGGTATTATTAAACTAGTATTATTAAAAGTATTATGAATAAACCTAAAATTTGTGTGATATTTCAAAGTTTTGTATAAAGTGTTTAAATTTTACAATTAAAACTTTGTCGAGTTGCTAATTATTTGCGTACGACAATCTAATATATATCTTTCATGCAGAATATTTCAAAGAATCGATCTTTTTGTTAGTACAAAATTATTTATTAAATTAATCAATAAATTTAATTTCAATTGCAGCGCTCTTAGACCCATTTTGTCTAAAATATTGAAATATCGAAAAAATTTACTTTAATAATATTTCTCATTATTTATTAAATATTTACATAAAATCTGACAAAAATTAAATACATTATTTTAATCTTTATCAAGGACTTAAACCTTTCTCTAATATTAAATAAATAAAATAACGCTGTCTGTGTCTGTTTTGCGTTGTTGTTTATAAATACCGTAAAAAATGAGTAACACTATTAACACAAAGTATCGGTCAATCAATATTGACGTACAAAATATAATTCCATCAATTTCAAAAATGTAACAGTAAAATTGATAACATATTTGTAGAAATTTATAAGAAATTTAATTATATGTTTTCTTCCTGTCAATCAACAGCATAACTGTAATCAGAATGATTCAAAACAAACTGCATCTTTATATTTTTATTTCGTTTCTTTCTAATTATATTTACCTAAGATATGTTTTCTTCTACCATTCTCTAAAATTTATTTTTATGTAAAAATAAACGGGTGTCAATGTTATTCTCAATTATATACAACTTGCAAAACGCATTAAAGATTAATAAAGAATTTGCTAAGTGCATCGTTTAATATCTTACTTGTTCATTATCAAACGATTGTTATACTATCATCCGGGCGTATAAAGTGAATCGCATTCATGCACACTGTGAACTATTTAATTATATTACGCGTGAAATAGAAAATGTCATATGATTCTAACAGCCTTTCTGGGATCGATACGATCATTTCTTCGAGCAATTATCCTTAAATTTGACAATATTTAATCCCCCGCCGAGAATCTTGTTTTTCTGCTCAATTCAATTTTAACACACGAACGAGCAACCTTAACGCCTATGGACTAAGCCTAAACACCTATTTATGTTTCGTAATGTGAAGCACATCATTTATAATATTCGTCTCCTCGGTATGTTTGAGCGTTCGCCGCCTCCAAACCGTGATCAGTTCGAATCACTTGTTTCATCACTGTCGAACGATCAATGGATAAATGTTTTCCCTTTTTAGTAATTACTCACAGATCGGGGCTCAGGATTCTCATATTCAACGTCGTCTTATTTTTAGGGCTACTTTACAAAACGTTACATTCGTCTTCGTCATTTCTTATGATATTTTTCACTGATATTTCTCGTGAATTTGATGTACTACGAGTTCCGCATGAAGAATGAAAATATAGAAACACCTATTACGAAGAAATATAATTTTTTAAACGGAATTATAATACATTATTTTTGTAAAATATATTAAATAGAATAATGCGTTTATATCCTCAAAATTTTAGTTTTTCTTTAAATCTGTCGGCCATAAAGATATTTCATGAAACATGATCTTAAAATGTCTAAATATCCATCAAACTCTAATTCTCTTCAGTATATATCCTTTTTTCAATATGTTTCGATATATGTTTCAGATGCTTAAAAACAAGTGTTTCGCATATATCTTTATGGTACATTCATGACAAAGTGACAAGTAAAAATGATTGTGAGGAAACATGATTACTAACAATCCATAATAATAGATGTTAACGTTGTCATTATTGAAGATAGTTCTCTGAAACAATTTCTAATTCATTTACATATCCTTCTCGCCTTTAAACGTTCTATCCCTGTAGAGAAGTTTTCTCAAGTATCGATTTTCGTGTATCGAAATTGTTTACAGCTAAGATTTAATCCTCGAAGATATGTGCAGTGCATTATGCCATGATACATATTCAGTATGAAAGTATTTACTTAAGTGTATTACTGGCAAGTGAAGGGGCACCAAGGCCTGACTAAAAATATTATGCAAGTGTCCGTTGGGTGTTTGTTGACTCTAACAAGGCCGCTCCAAACTACGTTATCCGTTTGATTATTTCCAAATCGCGTTTCAAACATTATTCACTGACGAGGTATAAATTTCCTTTCTTTCCTCCTCCGCTGCTGAAGAATCGTTCGAATATTCGAGAACGATTAATCTAAACTTCATGCAGAAGATTTTATGCTACTTCCCATCACATCAATACCGATCTGTTAACATACTTAAGTCAGACTTATATCTTGGCGATTTGAACACAATAAAGTCTTCTAAAAAGAAATTGCTTCTCTCTTTTTGCTTTCTTATAAATGATAAGCGAAAACTTTCAATTGTTAAGGTATTTTGGACAATATCGATTTACTTTGATTTCTATCCTTTTAAACAAAAATTCTTAGAATTTTTCAGTGATAAGTTATTCAAGTAAAAGATTTTTCTTTTCAACAATCTGTCGATTTCCTAGTGTTGTAACGATAAATAGCGTAAGGATAAAATCTGCAAGTGCAGTCAACGATTTTCGAGTTAAATTATAATAATGACAGAAGGACGTTTATTTACCAAGTTTGCTCATAGAAGAACTCAGACTAGATTTTTAGAATATAAATTAATTTGGAAAAGAAATACCTCTGCAAATTTAATAAAACATCCTAAAATGGGGAATTGAACGACGATAAACGACCAAAATTTCACTTTAACTCGAAATTCGTTACAAACGTGTTCACAATTAAGTTAATTTAAGACTACTCAAAAAAAAGAACAATTATTCCGATCACCCATTACCATAGAATTTTACGGTCGAAATTTCAACGTTTGGTCAACAAGTTTCTCTGGTCGAAAATTCTTCGAGTCACGTTGACATAATATCATTTCGAACAATACGACCTTTTCACAACACCTAACCCCACGAAAGAATAGTCAATAAATCGAGAGAAGTCCGCGCACTGCTAGCAGGCAATTCGATCTTGGGTGTTCACCAAGTAAAAATACAACTCCATTGTTCTTTACACCCCGTGACGATTTCACTCGATCGCTTTAGGGATACGCTTGCACAAAACTAACGGCAGCGTGCAAACTTCGTAGAAAGAAACAGCATCTGCTGCGTGCACAATATTCGGAACTGATTCTCTAAAGTGGAAGCTGACGGTGCGCCAGATTTTAAACCAGACTGTGTTCACGAGAGTCGTAACGATGCGTGTAGAGAATGGATGAATTAGTTCCTGGCGACGTCGATGATGATGGCGTGTTCGAGCACGGTGGTGATGATGGATGGGCCTTCTTCGAGGCCGACAATACCTAGGTATTGTGACACTGCTTGCGGATTTTATTCTCTAGGTTGGAAGTTGGTCGGCCAACAAGGTCCTCCAGTTCGTCGGGCGTCAAAACTGTGAAGTCTCTGTACAACAAATTCGTATAATGTTATTATATTCTGTTTTTTATCGCCTCTTATTATATCATTTTATACTTTAACACAATTCACTGCCATCTACGAGATATTTCGTAATAAACGCGTGTACTAAAACCGCTATCTATGTCTCGTATTTTTTTTTTTATTATTGTAAATCCATTTTAGTACTACATCTTAGTATTATTATATTTTGTGAACATCTACGTGTCTTTTTTAAATAAAATCTGCAAACTCTCTAAATTTGACTGGCAGTGAATGAGTTAATTGTTACTAAGTAATTTGAACTACGAATAAATATTAACGAAACAAGTGGTAGACATTCATTGCCACGACGAGTCTGACTCGTGATGCACTCGTAGTTCAAACGCGATAAATCTCGTTAGAATTTTTAATACGTTTTAGTTAGAAGTTCAAAACTAATCATCATTTGTTATAGTCAAAGATTGCAGAATACAAAATTGATTTAACAATTTAGGTTTCTTCGTTTGTTTTAATATTGTAGCAATGGATGGTTAGTGCTAACTGATGCATTTGATACGTACATCGTACACTAAATACATTTTACGGTTTGGTCAAAATAGATAGATAAGAACATTTTGTTTTGAAATCTGATTACTTGGAATTTATTCAAAAAGAAAAGACAAAACATAAAAATTGGAAATAACGTTTCTACTTGCATTGTTTACTGTCTGAAAGTTTTGTAAAAATGAAGCTGTCGTGTGAGAAATTTTCAAATTTAACTAGGTTAGTTATTACAGATAAAACTTATTTTTGAATGCAAACTTTTAGATCTTCAGTCTGAGTTGTCAGCCCCAGAAAGGCTATTAATTTAAAGATTCATATTTAGAGCTGCATTTTCAAGGTGCTCTAGTTACTTATGTATTTTTCTTGATAAACATAACGCAGAAAAGTTGTCGAAATTCATAAAGAATTGACTTCATTTGTAGAGAGTTTGTTTGGGTCACAGAAAAAGTTCGAGCCTGTGAAAGAACAATGAGTTTAAAAATCAGAATTGTCATTGTATACAATAGAAGAATGAAGCGGAATTAATGTCTTAAAGCTCGACGTCACAATCACCAGATAATAATACAATTGAAAGTGGCTGGATTTAGAATAACTGCATCAGAGTTGACACTTTCATCATTATTCATATAAAGCTGTTCCTAATAAAAGAAAGATTGTGCGTTTCCAAAATGTCAAAATTTGTTAATAATAATTTACGTTTTATAGTTTCTTTTTAATGCGTGTATGTATGACTCCTCTTTGCATTTCGTATACAATGTTAAATAATTCGTAAGATAGTCCAAATTATTATACAAAATTTTGAAGTGCAAACTATTTGATCAATTATTGAATTTTTCTACTTTATATTTTTTACGTAAAATATTCTGATAAATCGAGTGACGTAAAACGAAAACGCAATTTCATTACAAAAACAGAGTTGACCTTTCCACCTACAAAGAATCAACACTGCTGCGTTGAACTGTGGGATATTATTTAACTTCTGTAAATAAACTTTCTTCATATTTCAAAAAAGAACGAAATCAATCGAGGTGATTACAATTATTTATACACTCTGCACTACGACAAATATATAGCACGTACAAAAAATATGTTTCATAGTCATTTTGTTTAGATAGTTATCGTTATCAGTTCCATTAATAACTAATACTGAAATTGTCATTGAAATGTGATTAATTTTAATTATATGTTAGGCAAAGATAGTACATAAGACATACTAGAAAAGTATTCTTGTTTAAGACCGACTGAAAATTTGTTATGAAAACTGAAATTTAATTACACCTATTTGTAAATTTGTTAATAATTGTAACAATATACTTGATTTTTTTGGAAGCTCCAAATTAGTTAGTTCTTAGATTTTGTTTCATTGAAGTTTACTTTCTATTATATATTCGCTCTTGGTGCAAAAACGAATTGAATTAAGAAACACTGAATATTTATTTTAAATAGAGCAATAGTAAAAACAGTATACATATGTGTATACATATATAATTCATATGTATACTGCATATTGAATGCCGAATTTTTCTACGTGCGTTAAATGCAGCTTCACTTCGTGTGTGCATTCTGCATAGTAACAGTCTATTAGCATATTATGATATGCTAATATATGTATAATTAATATTATCATTTACATCGTATATACATATATAACTGACTCTATTATTTCTTTTGCATATACATATTAGTAGCCTATCCTAGCCAATTTTTTAATAATAAAATTTGTTTAAAAATCAAATCAAAATTTCATTTAATTATAATCCATTTACAATGTTTTCTCAGTACTTTATTTCATCTCCATTTACCGGTTTATAAAATACATTATTTCTATGAATTTTAGTCATTAAAAAATTGGGACAATGTAAGAATTATTCTCACCTGTGTTGAGCCAGAAGCATGTCTATGCTAGTGACACTTCTTTGATGTGTTCCATCCTTCTGGGCAGCCTTTTGTTTCTTTATGCATAAAGCTCTGAGTGGCGCAAGGAGCACACCAACCACTAGTAAACTGCATCCGACAGCGATAAGGGCGGTCGAGTTTTGTGCAGCTTCAGCTCCAGGAGCAAGCTGCACTAAGCCTACCACCAGCACCACGGCGCCCAGCAGCAATGACCCAACTACCACGTGTAACGAATTGACCTTCGAAAATATTGAAAAACCCCAATCAATAATGAGCTTCGTTCGTGTCTTGTATTGTACGTACTTTATACAAATTTAATTATTTGCACAGGATGTTCATGTTCTTTACTGCCTAACTTTACCAACATATTCTATATACGAAACAAGATGTTATATTGACAGAGGGTTTTAATCACTTTATTACAAAGTTGTAAAAAAAGTACAAAATGACTTTGAACTGTTTTGTTTGTCGATGTCCCAGTTTTGTGCATAAAACTTTACCAGCGTGTTCTGTAAATAAAAATGATAAACAAATGTTCTGTGAACATAGGGTCTTGAATGTTTTTGAAAGGTTATGAGAAATATAATGATAATGGACGATTTTCTACTAATTGACTTTCGTAAATTTTTTAACCTTGGATAAAATCGAGAGCGTTCATATCTTTCTTATTTTTATTTATGGAATATTCTAATAATACACGGATAAAGCTTTGAAACACTTGTATGTCATCAAACAACAAATTTTGATTTTTTTATAAAAACATTTCGTATTTTTTATATTTTTTTTTTATATATTTTTATCATTTTTTTTAATAAAGTGAAAGCCTCTGTTGAAATAAGATTTATTTTCATTTGTTCAAGTAGAATATGTTGATAAAGCTTGGGGGTGAGAAATTGGGACACGTTGTGTGAAACATTTATTTTAATTATTTTTATCAGCTTCCTTATATAAAAAACATATAAGGAAGAATGAAACATACGAGAAGATTTAACATGTTATACGTTTTCAATTACTTATAACAAACATTACACAAATTGAAGTTTGCAAATAAAAAACAGCGATGAAGAGAGGAAACACAATGTTACACAATATAAAACATATAAGAACTCACATATCGCATGTCAGTACAAAAATATAATATAATCAAAAATTGAAGAAGGTCGGCTAACAAATGGAGTTTCTGAATCAATATGATAAACTTAGTTAACATAATTTCCGATTCGATTTATGCAACTGAAATCAAAGTCGTGTGAACGTCATCTTCAGTTTCTTAACTCCTTGCACTTGAAAGGCAACTCATTCTCGCCATTTAGCTTAATACTACAAATTAAAATAAATATTTTTTAATTGAATATGTAGTTTTATACACGTGATATTTAATAGTTGAATTAATTAATAAATTAATAGTTGAAAAATAATAACCTCAAAAGCGTTCATTTAACTTTGTAAACAGTAAAAATATCTTCGAGTGCAAAGGGTTAAACAGAACCTACTTTATTGCGTATTTTTGCTGCTCTCGATGAAACGTTTTGAAAACACCACCATGTTTGTTTTTTGTACAAGTCATTTTCAAAATACGAAGTTTCAAAGTTTTCAGAGATTTTAACAAACGTTACAAAAAAAAGTTGTTAAAAATGTTGAATTTTACAACGTAAGGTGAAGTGGGGTAAGTTTGTAAATGGGGCAAGTGCGTATACAGGCTATTTTTATTACAATATGAGCGAAATTTCTCCATTTAGTATGTTGGTTTCCTTGTTTAGTTTCACTATATCCCCTTTTATATTTCAGCTAAGAGTACTTGTTTGCAGTATAGAGTACTTGTATAATGCAGTAAAAAACATTTTATAGCAAATTTGTTAATAATTCTGCTCTTGTCCCATTGCACATGAAATAAAGTTTCAAAGTATTTAACTTCAAGTTACGTTCTTACACCATTTTCGGGGAAAGTGCAGAGTAGTTGACATTTCAAACAATTTCCTATCAAAATCAAAATGTACAAGGAAAATTAAGGTCCTAGTTAATATTAATTAAATAGTAGTAATTGTGCAAAGCGTTCGATATCGACAGCGTTAAGTATTTACATAGCAGACTGAAAATGTACTTACGTTTAAATACCAACTTTACAAAAATCAGTCTGCACTTACCCCACTTCACGTTATTTAAGTTTTAGTGAAATTAATAAAGTAAACTTATTTTTATATTTTACAATATCGAAGATTAGTAAAATGATGAAAGAATTGTTACTACGTTATCACTCTATACGTGAAGATGTAGAGCAAAGAATCAGTTGAGCAGCAACGATAGCGTACCTGTGATTAATTGCTCGATAATATTCAACCCATTCTTAGAAAATTTCATCGCTATCGGTATATCGACTAAATGACCCATAAGGAAGATTATTTATGAAATATGAGCTCCACGCTTTGGGAGGATCATTCGGTAAATCACCCTACACTTTTCGTTAAATCCCGGGAAAATACGAAATCAGAAATTCTTGGTGGTGCTAGCAATTGGAGTAAGTTATTTCTTCCAAATAATTATAGGAACAGAAAGCTGAATGATATGAAATGATCAATATTTTTGTAATTACAAATCTTTATTAATGTTACGATGCATGTAACAAAATTCAAATGCATCATTTTTTAATGAAACTGTATATAAAATTTTATGTAGACAAATTTTTGGGAATATTTTGTATAGGAAAATGTATTGAGACTTAATATTAGAAAATTGATAGCTTACGACAATTTTCACTTAATATTAAGAAAATCAATGATTCGTGAAATACTTTTAGTCTACAAATGAGATGTTTCAGTAAATTAAAACAGCTCACAAATTGTTTATTTTTTTTATATTATGTATTAACTTTTTCTGTACATAGAATGATTCAAAGATTTTGGTGTACGTTTATTAGAAATATGCAGTTTCAATTTTTAGAAACGTGCATTTATATTTCTTCCATCTCAGAAATTTGTATGTCCTAATATAGATCGATTCTTCAGATCCCTTTCTGTAACAATGTGTTGGACACAATATTTAAAAAATTGTACATTTTTGCATAAAATATCTTATTTTTAAATATAAAATATTTCACAAAATGTTCATCTTCTTTGTTACTCAGTGCTAATTTTTGTGTGTGCAATGTTTCGAAGATTTGATTTACATAAAAAGTAATTTTAGCGGAAAAAGCATTTGCATTGTGAGGGTACATCATAGTATATCCCCTAGTGTGCATCTCCTAGATGCATTGCAGTGTGCTATCCCCTAATGTACACAATGCTTTATTTATACGATTCTGTTTTTTATATAGCTTTTAAAATAACGAATAAAAAGAAATGGTAAACGTCGACGTTTTAACGATACCAATGCAAGTATAGAACTTTTATATTTTAAGTTTTTTACAAACATATACAATTTTATTTTTTAAAATATAAACAATTTTTTACCAACGGACTTGTTTACATTTTTCTGATTACGATGTGATCAGTCCACATTTAATTTGGACCATATTTACTGGTTTACTTGAAAATAACTTTGATTTACATGGTTTCCTGAGGAATTTATCTGGAGGACAATTTGAGAATACGTGTATTTACAAACAGGTTGTAGTTGTAGACAACTAACTTTTCCTGTAACACTCAAATTTTTCCTGTGTAACCTTTCTCTCTTCCTGACATCGTTAAATTCCGTTTATTAAAATCACTTATAGAGAAAAGTAATTCACGTTTTATTTTAATCATTCTAAAAATGCTACACTAAAAATTGTGGAAGTACAGTAGAAATTATACAAGGTGTTTCACAGCTCGTGTAATTCTCGGAAAGGGGTGGTAGAGGACGTGATTCTGAACAAGATTTCCCTTTGCAAAAATGGGGTTTGAAGCTTCGTTTTTGAATTATTAAGGAAAAACACGGACCAATCAGAGCGTGCGGATTACGCGCAGACGCGAGAGCGACAGCTTCCAGCCTAGTGGCTGAGCACGCGGACCAATCAGAGCGCGAGGATTACGCGCGCTCAGCCACTAGGTTCGAAGCTGTCGCTCTCGTGTCTGCGCATGCGCAATCCTCGCGCTCTGTTTGGTCCGTGTTTTTTTTTAATAATTCAGAAACTTTAAACCCCATTTTTGCAAAGGGAAATCTTATTCAAAATTACGTTCTCTACCACCCCTTATCGGGAGTTACACGAGTTGTAAGACATCCTGTATATCACAACATTTTTTAGTAAAGTACAAATAATATAAAATTTGCAACATTTGTGAAGTTCGTTAAAAAATCTTTCATATTTTGAGAGTCTCTATGCTTGTTTCCTTTTGTCTCCAAGGATTCTTCAGATTTCTTTGAAATTTTCAAGGCGAACATGCTTAAGTACGATAAGGATTTTTAACGCTGAAGTAACGTGTGTTTTCTTATTTCACTCAGCTTGATACACTGCGCTGTTTGTTCAAAAATTTTGTTGAAACCGTGAATCATAATTATTGATTCCCCAAAAATTCATATTATTTTCACACGAAATATTAATTTCTCCAAGCAATCTGTTTAAACCTAGCTTTCATCTCATTTTTCTTACCACGGTGATTATTTAGTATCGAAACAGTTTTATAGTATTTTACCAATGCAATATTTTGTTACGACAGAAAAGTAAACTATTTAAAAACTATTCATTTCTTTTATAAACAAAACCATTCAAACTTATTTGTATTCTTTTGTTTCAATAGGTGTCTGTAAATCGCAGAAAGAAAATAGTCGATGAAAGTATACCTTTGCCCTGTAGATGATAATTACTATCACTAAGTCTCAAGCTATTATACATCAACAAACAGTTTTAATCGCTTCGCTTTAATACAATAAATTCATTATTAAAAAATATCCGCGGAATAACCTTATACCGCGTTAATCTATAATTATCCGCCAGCAAGAAAAGGATAGTTTAATTATAAAAAAATAACAACTAAATTTAGTTTTTATTGTTGGTGAAGAATGTTTATGACTTGGTGTTGGTATAGGGAACGGCTAGAAACGTGAGGAGGGTAAATTCCAAACAAGACTACGCGCTTCATCATATACATAGTTACTCGCTGCTTGTACTAAACGCCCACGGGTTTTAAATGACGTCATTCTACACCCCGGTCCGCCGGCAGAAATATTCCATTTTCATTGAGGCAATTTGCAAAGCAACTACGACGATACGCGGTGCATTTTAAAGAGAACAATTATACGAATGAAGATTCCCAGGTAATTCAGT